TATCTTTTATGCATTTTTAATGTACCTATTCTCTACTTTTACGTTTGCTTCTTATTTTCAATGGAGTTTAATATTGAAAAGTACTTTGTTAATAAACTGTTAAACTCGTTGACAGCTCAAGTGAAGATTCTCAGGTCCAATATTAAAACAGATCAATAATAAATAAACAAAATTTTTTATTAAATTTATATTTTTGCAGCTTGAAACATTCACGATTACTTGTCTGGTTTTTCATGTTTTCTTTAAATGTTCTTAACTTTAAGAAACAATATGCCATGATAAGTTTAAATATGTCCTAAAAATTCATTGTCCTATTTAGTTAATGAAATTTATTTACCTTTACTGCCTACCTCCATTGCTTTTAGATGTAAATACAAAATATTTTTTTTTATTACAAATTTTTAATGAAGAACAATCAGACTTCCAATATTTGCTGATTTCTGTCACATAAATGACATTGATTGACAAACAAAGCTGGAAAAGGCAACCTTCTCGCGCTGAGTTGTTTGGTGACAACGTTATAGCCAGCGATTTTCAGGAACCGTGTTCCATGTCAGCTTTCAGGAAACAGAACAGAACATAAAACCATAACCAAGGTAAGGAGCGACTGGAATACTAAAAGCTTAAAAATGTTTTACAAGCGAGGAATACGCAGTCGGTATTGTTCTTTTTTAGAACCTTTTTAGTGCAAAGTGTACGAGATATCTTAATAGCCTTAAAACTCACTCTGCTTGGTTAGACTATTTTTAAACAAAGAGGCGGTAGTAATGGCTCTTTATGTCCCTTAATTGTTGTTAAGAAGGTGAGTTTTTGTTGAAGTAAATGATAACTGTTTATAGGAAAAATTTAAAATAACTCTCGTTGCACATCATATTACGACCACCAGCAAACTCCATGGTGCGACATAAAGTGTCTATTGGTGAAATACAGCAATTTGACTAATTTCCCCTATATTATTAATTTATAAAAAAAATTGTTTTGATATTTTGATTAAGAAAATATATAAAGTGGGCAACGCTGTACCGGTCAGAAGCTTAATCACGTGACTAAAAGTATATTTCATATGAACTGTAGGTATAGTAACCGCTTTTTGAGTTTTAACTATAAAAATATTTAATGGAGTCTCTTTCTTGATCGGGCGTTGAAATCTCCGCCAAAAGAAGTACAACAAAAGCGATTTCAAAATTATTCATTTTATTTTAAATAATTAGTGAAATATTACGAAATCTAAACTGCAAAAATTAAAACCTCATTTTACACCTTATCTATATGTCTCTGTTTACGTATTATTACAATAGGCATATTTATTACTTTCATTATATTATTTATTAAATATATTTTATTTATTTTTTAGTTTGAACAATGTAGAAATGCAACTAAGTATTTTTGAAGTAAAACTTAACACGCGCGATGAGTAAAGGGTAAAGGCCATGACGTACGGCCTTGACACGACCAGATTTTGACGCGGTTGGCGCGAAAAAAAATTAATTCCACAATGACGAAGTGTAGCATACGGTCTACCTATGTCAACAACGCGGCCACCCTATGAACAAACTTCTTGCGGCTACGCTCGTAATGAGAATGAACAAAAATATGCATTTCTTGATATCGATATTTTGGTGACATTTCGTGTACTGAAAAATTAATGAAAATAAAAAAAAAAATCGTCCGATTTAAGTAAAATTTGGTATGTGATAGATTGGATCATGGCCAACTTGACTGTGCATGACACGTGTCACTGTGACCGTTAGTGGTTTACGATGAAACGTCAAAAGTTAATGTCGTCCGATCGCGACCAAATTTGGTGGGTAGGCTATGTGAGCGACGGTTTACACGGTCCCACACTGCAAAGTTGGATACGACGTTTCGTTTACATCTTTGTCGGGGTGGGACTAAGAATGATATTCTTTAAGAAAAATGTGGGTCGATTTCGGCATAATTGAGGACGGGCTGGATGATGACGCGCCCTCGACTTTTCGAACCGATGCCTCTAAATGGGCGAAATCATCAGGAATTTTCTTAAGTATGGGTCGATTGGAACCAAAACTCGGCACGTGGATATAGGTACCCAAATGGAGTCCACAGACGGACGGACAGTGACAGACGAACTTTTTTAAATTAAGTTAATCTGACATACGATTTTTTATCTCTTCTGTTTTTTTTTTTTTTTTTTTTTTTTTTTTTTAATTTTTACTGATTACAGGGTGAAATAAGCTCTCTAAGGAAGAAATTTCACCAGATGCTCGTTCCTCTTTCGTACCAACTATGTACCTGTTGTTTATTTAAATAATCAGAAATAACCTGATTGTAGAAAATATCAAAAACCATCCTAGAGAAAAGAACAACTCTACAGGCTTAATTTGAGATATGTTAAATAATACATTTAAATAATAATAGAAATTAAATCCATATATTATAATATCCAAATAATATTACGGTCTATTTATGGGCCTTGAGGAATTCAAAAATTTCTCTGTTTTGTAACATTAGCAGCAAACTCGTTCGGTATTTCGTTTGCCATTTTATTTTAGTTTCCTAAAAAAAAAAAAAAAAAAGTTTTATTATTATTTATAGAATTTTTTTTTTTTAGTTTTTTATATGGTTTCACATACTTTTTAATGTTTTAAAAACTATTTTTATCTCAATAAGAAACCTGTGAATTTTATGTTACTCTTTATAAGAAAATGGGGGAAATATCAACTATTCTTTTAGATGTCTCAAAAAAAAACTGCCATTTTGATTAACTCGTCCATTGTGTATAACTGACGTTTTAAGACTTACCTTAATAATAATGCAAATTTAATTTGTTCTTTCGTCAAAATCTTGAATTAATAATCTTCTGCTTGTCGTTTTAATACTGAACAAAGTTTGGGATATTTCTAGATATATTCTTCTAGTATTTTAACTATAGGAGTTTAATCTTCTGCATAGACATTCGCCAACAAAGTTGGCAACTTCATAGCTAGACTGGCTGAAACCATACATTAAAACATTTTCAAAGAAACAAATTGTATTTTTAATTTTCAAATAAAAAAAATGTTTTCAATCTAATAACTTCTATATTTCGTAAATCTATTGTATGCATATACGGTAATCGCAAAACATTTTCCGATGCACGTCTTCATATCGAAATTGACACTAAATCCTATTAACCTGACTAAATGAAATTTGTAGCTTCAAAAATGTTTTAAATGAGCAGCTCTTCATTTACTTTATAGAAACAGGATTGTGACAGATATTTTATTTAGATTAAAGCTACCAAAATTAAGTTCAGCGTTTTATTATCACTTCATGTTGGCCACATTGCGTCGTGATCAGCAACGTTGTCGTGTATTGTTGACAACTATCATAATGTCAGTCGTGTACAGCGCAATATCTGGTTCAGTCGGCAGGATTTTGCTTTGGAAAAAGTCGGAAGTTTTGCAACTTTGCTGGTTTGTAGGTTTTAGGATTCTTCAAATACATAAAATGCATATTTCCAGACGCCGCCGGCGCCGCCACCTTGCCAAGATGATGTAGTAGATCCCAAAATCGACATTTTGTGGAATACCTCGAAAACTATGCGTTTTCACAAAAATTTGAGGAGAACAAAAATTAAAAGAAATAAAGTTCCTATAAAAGTTTATAGAAATTTTCCTTCTAAAGTCAACCGTTTGGGCACAAAATCCCTGGAAATTTTTACAATTTTGCGTAAAATATGATAATAATATGTATATAAAAAAAAAAAAAAAAAAAAAAAAAAAAAAACTAGTTTAGTTTAGTTTCTTCAGTTTTGTTATAAAACAGTGGCGTATCATAAATTCGCTCATTAATTTTATGAATAATTAATTTTAATTATTGAAGAAATGGCATTTTGTTGCCACGCCGCAGAGGTAAAATTATAAAGCGCGTTTATTTTAACGGAGTGGAGCCTACTCCACTGAAGACAAAATTAAAAAGCTTTGTATCACAAGCCCACCGACGGATCTGGCCCATTGATATCAAAGTCGATCGTGTCTGCTGTGCCGGGCTCATCAGGGTGGTCTCTCAATTCGTCCAGCTCTTCATCTTCAGCCGCCAGAGGGATATCCACAGGCAAGCCCAACTCCTCTTCATCGGATTCGTCAAGTGACACTCCAGTGACGTTGTCACAGGATTTTCCCTTGCAGTATGCACAAATCATTGAATATTTTAACCCTGCTTTTCTGCATCCGCAAGCTTTACCACAGTTGTTGGTTTGCATTTACAGGATAGAAATGCCAACAGGGGTTTTGGAGCTGGATACATAATTTTACCTGTAAAATTTTCAGGGTTTGCCTAAGCGAAAACGACTTTAGCGAAAATTTTCATAAAACCTTTTTTATAGGAAATTTTATTCTCTTTAATTTTGCCCTCCTCAAATTTCCCCCCTTTCAAAACTTCGGGACTTTTTTCCAAGCAAGCCTTTTTGATCCCAATGACTGAACTAATCGTGTTGTTATTGAATCTTTGGGAGTAATTCTCGTTTTCTGCCGATTTTCAAGCTGGGATTTTATGAGACTACGACATATACATTATTGATAAGAATGATGGCTACAGATTAATTACAACTAAAATTCGTCGTCCAAAGATGTACGCCAAAACCCTTCCGATTAACAGAAAAAAGCCCCGCACGCAGCTCCAAAACAGCCACGTTCCCGATTCCCACCCGCCCCGCTAGCCTTCTCTTCGCGCGTTCTTGGACCTCGGGGGCCGCACTGGTCCTCGACTCTCTCCCCTTCTGCCCCCGCGCCGCCCCCTCGGTCTCCGCAGACGTCGGCGGCTTCGGCGGCAGCGACGGTTAAACCTGAATTACCTGCCGCCGGGTTCAGAGCGTGTAACCGTACCGTTGTCCACCACAGCGTATAGTGGCGTATAGTTGGAATAAAAACAGGAACTAGTATCGATACTGAATAATAAGGAACGGAGATTACGGCTCGAAAAAGTCGGAAATAGTGCGAGACTTTGAGTGATTTTTTTTAACGTTGTTTGTTTATGGATACAGGTGGATTACCATCGGCCGGTAAAATCAACAGGTAAAGTTTATTGTGGTCAGTGGACCGTTTTGGTTAATTGTGAGTCTTCTTCCGTCTCTTGTTTTTTAAGAAGTTTTTGGGCGGATGACATGTGTATGAAATAATAGCTAGAATGCTTACAGTACCTATTATATATCGCAGGTTCAAGCAGCGTCAACACGGCTGCGGACTGCAAACAACCGTGATAATTTTCGCGAGGTCTGTCTCTTGGCGTCATTTACTAAAAATTGACGCAGCCCGTCTTTATTACTGTTTTTTTTCGATCCTACGGTTTTATACCAGGGGTCGTCTCAAAAGTAGCTCCAGGCTCACCCTTATAACTTTTTATTTTTCAGATAAAAAGCAGAGATTTGGTATGTTGGTACTTGCTGATATAAATTAGGATTGATCGACGTATTCGATTGTTTTCGGTCACTTCCCTGGCTTTCACCGAAATGACTACAACTTTTGATTTTTAAATTGAACCCTCGGTATATTTTACTGTATTCGATACAAAATGACACTCTAGAATGACATGATATCATTATGTCAACTTTTGACATTTTTCGCATATGAGTAAAATAATATATGAATAATATACGCTCCTCCTCATTATACTCCTCCTTCCACCACCATTTCTACATTTTTCAAATCCTCCAGTTCAAACTAGAAACGAACATCTTAGAATAAATACCAAAAATATATTGGAAATATATTTTTTTAAAATACGTTTTAAACGTATTTGAAAAATTATAGACTTAGTGTGGGAGGAGGAAGGGGTATATAATGAGGAGGATGGTCTCTCATATATTATCTACTCAGCATGGTTTATTTGAAATTGTAACATGCAGGTAATAACGACAAATTTGAAGCTCGAGATACCAGGTATTAATTGCCAAATTATTCGTAAAGTAACTTTTTACAAATACTAAATGGGCCACCTTTGTTCTATTTGAAAAAAATTGAAATATGATTAAAAATACGATTTGGGCATCTTTAACCGGCCAGGATGGACACAAAACACATTAGATGATCAAATCTATTTTTTTCCAAGGCTCCTTGATTAAAATTAGTGTTTCCATGGCCATGGCACTCTAGATAGAAATTTAAATAAAATTTTTTTTTTTTTTTTAAGCGAAAATATAAAAGTTGACATATCTAATGTTTATTCTATTGCAGTATCATTTTCTATCAGAACAAACAAAAGTATGGCAGGTGCCGATACAAAAATCAAAAGTTGTACTGTCCGGTGAACAAGAAGGGAACCAAACAAATTGAATACGTCAATCAATCCCTAATTTATGTCATACATCAATATAATAATACTTAAAATAAAAAAAACTTTTTTTATCTGAAAAATAAAAGTTATAGAGGTGTATATGTATACTTTTGAGACATACCCAGTATAATATACTTGTTTTCACTAACAATCATGAAAATAAGTTATTTTTTGTGTAAAAATCTACTTCATTCGTTATGTTGTTTTACTGTTTGATTCTGAGGATGACAGGAGAAAAGTTATACCGCTAAAAAGATAAATTTGTTGTCAAAAATTCAGTATTTTTTGACACTGTGATTTTTAGTGTATGCATTAGTACTACTGTTTCCAGTAGAGTCAGGTACAATGAACCCTCCACAGACATACAGACTGCATACAGACTGCAGTACTTATTGTTACCTCTTGTTCCAACAGCAGAATTTAATGTGACTCATAAACCCTTCTTACGAAGGTAAACCATAAAATTCTTTGTCTTTTTTATAGTTTCAGTTTTATCAACTAATCATAATAATATCAATTAATTACTGGTATGATTAATTAAATTAATTGACATTTTATGTTTAATTACAAGGGAATATTTTGAAGTTTCTCGAGGATCTCGTTTGTCCTCGATATCATTGTGGAATATTTGCAGGAACTATTGATGTTAGAAAGATAATATTAAAATAATTGGAAAATTTGTTAAGAATAATTTAAATATCAATCAGTTCTAATACCGTATGATCTTTTTTTGTGGAGGTTTTTTTAGTCAGTAAGGTACCTCAACCACCCTGACAGTACCACTTACGGTCTCTAGTTTACAGATTTTCCCCAACGAAAAAATAGTACCGTATGATAACAAACGGCGTCCAGTTGGCTTGGAAATGAACATCAAGGGACAGGTCGACTATCCGGAAACACGATTTTGAGAAAAAAAATTGCGGACTTTTGAAATAGATGCTCTAAATAGTAGTTTTCAACAAAAAAAAAAATTGCGGTGTGGTTTTGAATTTTTGTTTAGCTACGCAAAACTTTTCTTGGAAATCTAATAATCTAATAATATTTTTTACTAAAACTACAGTTAATTATAAAAATATAAAAACCACAGCTTAACACCCTCTACAAAGAAAAACTAACCAAAAGCAATCCAAGTAACCAATGTAATATTTTTGCAAAATCACAAGAATTAATTATTAAAATAAAACACCTTCTTGTAACAACTTGGCATTAGTTTTCCGCACCTAAAATAAGTTTAAATTGCTAAGTGTCATTTTTGGTAAGAATCATCACTGTAAAACATCTCGTTTTTGTTTCCGGATAGTCGACCGTAACCAGGCAGCTAATGACCTTCACCATTTTAAATTTTTACATATAAAATGACAGCTATTTTCAACTGAAATTTCATTTCATATTCTTTATTCAAAGACAGATCCTATTTCAAAAATATTTTTTCTCGAATTTTTAACTAAACCATTTAAATAAATATTTGGGACAACTAATACAGTACGTCTGTCGTTCTGTAACTACGTGGTATCCGTGAGGGGAAACGATATTCTCTCGTGTTTTCGTAAAAAATTAGACGACGCGTCCATCAATAAAAATCGACAATTGCAAGTAGCCAATAAAATGAGTGGGCGAAACGATTTGCGGTGACGTACTCAAGTCGACGTATAAAATGTATTGCTGTTTATTTAATTTTACGTCCGCATTCCTTTCGCGCATAGACATAGATCCAGCAGACGTACTATACACAGCTCGGGATCTCTACTACCAGAAAATCAACCGCGAAAATTGGTTAGCATGTAGTACTTATGAAAGAAACTCAATCATATTAAAATCTAGAATGCCACTCTATCAGAAGAAAACATTCGACCTATGTGTGGATGCCATTCGACCAAACCAAACCTGGATGCTTAAAACGGACATCATAAGAAACTGCAGGTTGCTAGCGTTCAATGGAACGAAATATGCTATAAATAAAAAAAACAACGCTTTTTTGTACAAAAAGCCAAAAAGGCTTCATCGACAAAGCATTCACAAAACAAAAAAGCACAAAAACAAATATACAAAATAATAATAAAAAAAATGTCATACAATGTACAGGCTCAAATCAAAAAAAATTTACATCATAAAATTACAAATAAAACATATATGCACAACACAGGCGTATCTAGAAAATTTTACAAAAGGAAAACTGTAAATGAATAAAAATCATGTTATATATTAATATAATAAAGTTATAAAATAGTAAATATTAAATACTAGACCTTTAACCAGTGTGTGAGATAATCAAATATTAAAAATTCAAATTAAAAAAAAAAAAAAAAAAAAAAAAAGTCGTTTACCGCATATAGGGCTCTCTCTCCAGTAAGTATGATTTCAAGAGCTTTGCGAAATGCGGAAAAGAATGAAAGTGACTTGATACTCGAAGGCAAATGAGTGTACATTTTCTTGGCATTGTACCGTATTGAGCCCTTAACTAGTTCTGAGCTCAAGGTTGGCAGATAAATATCGTGCTCCGACAGCATTATCATTCATAAGTGGATAGTTGTGAGAAGGCCTTTACGGAATAGAGAATATGTGCTTGCGGATTAAGCAGACGGATTCAAAAATGGAATGGAAGGAAGAGGCAGTATTTTGAGGTATTTACCCAAAGAAATTCTGGCAGTGAGTTCTACTGTTTAGTCCCAATAAGTCGAACTGCTCTCTTTTGAAGTTTGAAAATACGATCAAATTTTGTCGCGGAGCAAGTACTCCAGAATGGGAGGCCATAACGAAGATGCGATTCAAAAAAGGGCATATTAGACCATTCTAGAGGTTGATGAGTTAAGTTCCTTAGAAACTGATCTTAGTGCAAAACAGGCAGCGCTTAGTTTTTTGATATAGCCTCGATGTGCAAGTCCCATTTTAACGAGTTGTCTACAAGTCCTAAGAATCTCACAGAGTCCACGACGTCAATAGTGTTATTAAGTACAAAAGGTTGTATAGTACTTTTATATGACAAAACAAGGTTGAGGCATAGGAGATTAGAATCGCACCAAGATTTAATGGTGTAAGTCACTGGATATAGTATTATATAGTGCCGTAACATCTGGGCCGCTCCAAGTGAAATCGCAAAGAGGCAGATTCCGCAAAGAGGCAGATTTGACCGCTAATGTCTAGATTTGCAATGTCGTTGATAAACACCAGAAACAAAATAGGGCCAAGTACTGAACCCTGAGGGACACCACATTCTATAGGCTTACAAGATGACATAGACGTATCAATCCTCACAAGCTGCCTTCTGTTGCCAAGATACGACTTAAGCCATTCGAGCGGCACTCCCCTGAATCCATAATATTGCAATTTGTTAATTAAGATATTATGATTTACACAGTCGAAAGCCTTAGAGAAATCACAGAAAATTGTGGCTGTAGAGTGATGGTTATTCAGGCTAGAGTATACATTATTAAAAAGGTCGAACATAGCATCATTTGTGCAACTGTTACTTAGAAATCCAAATTGATAGGTAGAAAGTAGAAAAGATAGAAGCCTTTTTTTAACCAATCTTTCAATGATCTTAACCAAGATTATTAACCATGAGAGACCGTAAAAGAATAGAGTGGATACGACAAAACACCCAGGTAATAGATGTCATCCACAGAGTCAAATTCCTCAAGTGGCAATGGGCAATGGGCAGGACACTTGGCAAGAAGAACGGACAACAGATGGAGCACAACAATTACAGCATGTACTCACGAGGGGAATTAAGAAACCCAGAGCA